AGACAGACACAGTGAAACTGCCAGAGCTTCGTCAGAGACAGAGGGGCAGCAGGACCCAGCACCAAGCAGTTGGAACGGCAGTCAGGCATCAGACAAGCCTCAGAGCGAAGGGAGCTTGTCAGCCCTGAGAAGACAAGCCATCTCCCTGACAGGCCTGCAGCCTCAGGTTGCTCCAGGGTGAAACTATTTGGGCTGAATCTTCACATCATTTTCACAGTCAATAAACTGTAAAGAGTCTGTCTGTAAGTACAGCACATTTCTCAACGTCAAACATGCTTGTGCAACGCATCTCAAGCAAGAAGTCAAGATGTCAAACTCCCCAAGACTGGGCAAACATGTTTACTCCCTGGAAAATGTTTATTATGGCTACCATTCCCTCCATTTTTGTATCATCAGTGTGGTGCTTAGATGACTTTGTAAATGATGTTAGTAAAACTCCAAGAATTTAGGTAGAATTTTATGGAGACTTAAGTGATGTGTCTCCCCACTGAGCTTAGTAGCTTTTGGAAAATATACCTTTTCTTCTTTTCTTTTTTTTTCATCTACAGACCTGTTTTTGATGCAATAAAGATGAAGAGGCTTCTTTGTAAATACTCTGAATGCCAGCAGAGGAATATTTAAGTATGAAGAACCAAAATATGTATGCTTTAAAAAGGAAGGAATAAATGTACCATCCTTTGTTATCACTGCATGTTTCAGCTCATTTCAGCTTAGCATGAAATATGCAGTTTAATCCTACACCTTTTTAAAAATATACATTGGAATGTACATACTCTAGACTTATAATTCTATAAACTATAATTATTAAAATGATAGTTTCTATTGTTCCCCCAAAGAACTTATATTCTTAGAAAGAGACAAGCTTGGGGTGGACATTTTAAAATCAGAATTAAGAACCAGAGGCTTTAGCCATTGATTGTTAATTGTCCTGGTGGTGCAGTATAGCACTGTGAGGAGGGGTGGTCAGCATGCAGAGGTCTCCCACGGCCATGTCCAGGCACAGGCTTGCAAGACAAGAAAAGTCCACAACATTAAGGAATTTGGAAGCCCTGATTATGCCATGAGGACTGGCCACCTTCAGAGCTAAGAAGAGCGTGGTCTAGCCTGAGGATGTGGTCTCTGAACTGATGGCTGATTTCCATTTCTTAGTGTCAGCCATTGATGGGAATAACAAACAGAAAGGAGGAAGGAGAGGGCCCTCTGATGTGAAGAAGGCTAATTGTTATCAAAATGCCAGGGGTTTGTTCTAGGTCCCATTGCTCCATGCATAGAAAGCCAATCACTGAGACAATGAGTATTGCCAGGAAAGAAGGCTTTTTATTTGGGTGATGTTAACTGGGAGAATAGGAGTTAAGTTTCAAATCCATCTCCTTGACCAACTAAAATTGGGGTTTATATATCAGGGAAGGAATGTAAAAGAGGAACAAACGAGGAGTCTAAGGAACTAAGATAGACGAATAAGTGGTCTGGCATCCATTGGTCTAGATCTGGGCATCTGGTGAGTTTCAGTCTCTCACCTGAGAGTCAGTTTCCTGAGGAGGGAATTCCAATGAGACTGTAACTGCCCAAAGGGTGCACCTTGCCCACTGCCTAGGCAGAGCCAATTCATCAAGACAGGGGAATTGCAATAGAGAAAGAGTAATTCACGCACGCAACAGGCCAACGTGTGGGAGACCGGAGTTTATTATTACTCAAATCCATCTCCCTGAGCCATTCAGGAAACCAGAGTTTTTAAGGATAACTTGGGTGGGACAGGGGTGGGGTAGGGGGTGGGGAGGTGGAAGCCTAGTGAGGCCAGGAATGCTGATTGGTCAGAGATGAAATTGTAGGGAGTCGGAGCGCCGTCTCTGCAGTGAGTCAGTTCCTGGGTGGGGGCCCACAAAGATCAGACAAGCCAGTTTGTTGTGATTGGTGGTGCCAACCTGATCCATCCCAAGTGCAGGGTCTGTGAAATAGGCTCAAAACAACTGATCTCCAGGAGCAGTTTAGGAAGGCCAGAATCTTGTAGCCTCCAGTTGCATGACTCCTAAACATATTTCTAACCTTGGTAGCTAATGTTATGTCCTACAAAGGCAATCTAGTCTCCTGGCAAGAAGGGGGAGGTCTGCTTTGGGAAATGGACTATTACCATCTTTGTTAAACTATAAACTATAAACTACGTTTCTCCCTGAGGTTAGTTCAGCCTATGCCCCAGGAATGAACAAGGACACGTTTGGAGGTTTAGAAGCAAGAATGGGAATCAGTTAAGTTAAGATCCTCTCTTTCACGTCTCAGTCCATAATTTGCAAAAGACCAACTTTAAGACAAAAGTAATTCCAGTTTTTCAATAACATCTCAGACGGCTATTGAAGATTAGTTGACTTCACCAAATCCCTGGCCATGGTTTTACTCATGGTTCCTTATCAAATGATGAAGACTCTAAGGGACAGGCTATTGTGCTCAAAAGAGTTTTGACAGCTCTCCTTTATCTTGGACCTAGGTTTTGCAGGCCGGCCATTCCATAGTGTCCACAGTCTCCATGGGTTTCCCGGCTCCCTCTGGCTGAAAAGCAAGCCAGGATCCCTGAAATGCCCACACTATCACAGTTTGGGGCCGTCAAGGGAATAACCAAGATTGTCCCACAAAGCTTGGCAGGCCAAGGCTCACAGGCTCGACCAGCCAGGGGCAGCCTGCCTTTGCAGTGTGAAAAGATGAAATTTAATATCGCCTTTGTACTCCACTCTTGGCTTTGAAGTGTCTGAGCCCTGGGATTGGCCCAGTTCAATTACTGCCTAGGTCTCATATCAGCGCAGGTTTGATGTGAATATCCAATCACAACCTTATACAGCATCAAGATTACTGAAGAGAAGGAAAGGAAAAAGATGGAAACGCGCACAAAA